AAACCCCTAAACCCTCAACCCTTAGGGTTTAGGTTTTTTTTGGCCGACTTCCAGCCTAAACATATTCTCTTATTGCCTACTAGCCCTAAACCTTGGGTACTGCCCCCACTCAGCAACAGTTGGATAATAAATATAATATGGTTCGGTTAAGGGTTTAGGGTTTAGGGCTTAGGGCTTAGGGTTTAGGGTTTAGGATAATACCTATAACATCGTTATATATAGCCCTTGATAGGACCCCTAATATAGACACTTACTGGGGGGGGGGGGAGTACCCAACCTAAACCCTTAATAGTAGTTTCGATGATCTCTTCCACTATTCCCTTTATAACCCCCATATGGTAGTTTCTTAAAATGGGGGGGACCCAACATAGAGGCCAAAAATAATATAATCCTTATGATAGGGACCTCGAAAGGGTACCCCTGACTTGGGGAAACTCCATATCATACCCCCTAGCCCCCTAGCCCCCTAAACCCTAAACCCTAAACCTGCACCTTCTGAGGTAGCCATGCTCCCAGGCAATTGGCATGGCCGTACCCTGATCCTGCTGCTGCTCACGATCGTTCAGTGGGTCGCCTTGGCCTGGTAGCTCAGACCGTTTGACCAATAGTAATAGCAACGACTATAATACTAGTAATAAGAATAATAGTAATAGTAGCAATAATAATGGTAGTAATAATAAGAGTAATAGTACTAGTAACAATAGTAAAAGTCACAATAATATTAATATCGTAATTAATATCGTAATAATCCGTTGGATTTGTGAGACTCTTGTCATACCGGTTGACCTCGCAGCTGGAGATGAGGTGTGGTACACGCATCGTGGCTGCAAGCTAGCATACTTTAAGGTGACTTGTTGGAAAAGACCCGCTACCCAAGGCTGTCCTACATCCCTCTTGGCCGGCGCACGGCGTTGGCTGCCATTCGTGGCTGCTGGAGACGTTGCCTGGGGGAGTGAGGAGATCCTCCCGAGATGCTTTTAGCGCTTTATTTTGCTCCCAACTGTACAGTGTGGGCATCGAAGATGCTTTGTTTCCCATAGGAGCTATAGTCTAAACTCCTTACGGGGAGCATAAGGGGGTTATATAGGGTTTATATAGGTAGTATTAAGCCGGTTGTTCAGGCGGATACTAGGAGCGCAGACTGTAGCTCATATCGCAAGCTGCTGAGCCCAGCCGTTGCTTGGCCTCCACAGATGGGCACGTTTGCGCGCGCGAAAAGCTGGTGAACAGCAGTTTGTAAAACCAGGGCACCCAGCAATAGTAAGAGTAAGAGCAATAGTAGCGGTAATAGTAATAGCAATACTACCAATAACAGTAATAATAGTAAAACTAGTAATGGCCGCAATAATAGTATTCATAGTAATGATTGTAATAATATGGTAATTATAACAGTAATAGCATCATGCGGAGCATGTCCTAGTCCACATGAAGGTGGAGCTGCTTGGCCACACTTTCCGGAGTTCCGTCCAGGAGCTGGGGGGGATCCACGTGGAACTGTGCCGGTAAAGGGCCTGGCATGCAACTCTCAAAACTTGACAATTTCCCAAAATAAGGGGACCCCAGTACCTAGACCCTCCTCCTACCCTCCATTAGGGACCATATATCCCCAATTAAGGGTACAAGGAAGGTCCTGGTATAGACTCCAAAATACGTTGATCCTTGTTTTTGGGTTTTGGGAAACCCCCACTTCGCGCCTGTACTGCCAGGGGTTTTGCTAGCTGTAAAGCGTGTAAGGAATGGTGCAGTCGCTGTCTTGGGCTGCTGCGTACGTGCGGAACTTCAAAAGAAGCTATTCCTGCTACTAGTCGCCTTACCAGCAATGACCGGTGTAGTGCTGCTGCTACTGTGCTACTCATGCTGCTGCTTATACAAGAAGTAAAAAACTCAGTTATCAAGAGGCAGCGTAGAAGAAGGTTTTGGATGTGACGCGGCAGAATGGCTACGTTGAACAAGCGCTGTTGGCAACACAATCTCTCGCGTGTGGAGGGGGTGAAGCGGAAGGGGAGGATCCCTTCTGAGGACATAAACTCTAAACCCCCAAGGTCAAAATCCTGAAGCCTCAGATTGCAAAGCCAAAGCCAAGCTCATATAGTCCCCCTTAGGTAGATAGAATATGGCTTTGGGTATATTATAATAAAATCCCCATATACCCCATATTCTATCTACCTAAGGGGGACTATAACCGCAAAAATATATATATATGTATATATACACCCTACTTTAGTATAGTAGTTTCCATTTTCTTTTCCATTATCCCTTCTTAACCCCTATAAAACCCAATGTTCTATCTACTTAAGGGGGACTATAATTCCAGCCCAAACCTTGGTGGCCGTTAACCCGACACCAAGAATCAGTTGGCCTTTTTTTTTGTGCTCTACCGAATAACCAAAGGGGGCCTTGATATACTCGCGACGAGACGGCACAGCTGCCAGAGCTTCTAGCACGTGGTGCCTACCAAGCATGAGTGCAGAATCCACGTATGACACATTCTCCAGGTACCCCAGTAGTACCCTTTTGCCCTTTTTATTTTGGGTTTCCTTATTACAGCTGAACAGTAGGAAAAAGGGTACCCTTATTATTAATGGGTTACTGGAGAACGTAGTTCTAGTGTCAGGAAGCCCGTGAGAAGGGCTTGGACAAGCAGGAGGCGCGCATGTGAGAGCTTTGAGGATTGCAATGGAGCATCTGTGGCCATTGCAAGGACTAGCTGCATGTTGGCAAATGAATGCAAATACCTGCATGACAGAAGCAGCTCTCGATTTTCTGTTTCGCCTGGACTCCGCGCCGGGATTACGATGAGAAGATGTTGGTTGAGACCAGAAAACAGTGCCTCTTCCGCAAGCTGACTACTGTTAACATTTGTTAGCGCTGATCCCTCATGTTGGATGCAGACTTGGTCATGCAGCTTTTGAGGTATCAGAAGTGTGACGGGCACATCTTCTACACAGATCATGCTGCTCCGGGAAAGCAGAAGGCTTGAATAGCGAGCTTGTCTATCTGAGCATGCATCATCTGGGTAGTTTCCAAAAGTGGGATCCCATTTGGGTACGCCTAAATTGCCCTAAATACTTTTTGCCGCCATATAATTTCGAGAATAATTCGTGCGTGTCCTATTGACGAGGAGGCTGACTTCATGAGGGTCGTGGTGCCTCCGCAGAGCGTGGACCGCGATGACGACAACTGGCTCTATCACAGGACGGTTCCCAAAGGCATACTATACTATAGGGTTGCTGTTAAAGAATTTAGATTAAGTTACCAGAATGGATGTATATAGTGATTCTAACTAAGGTTCCCCCAATATATTAACTTAAATTAAGTTCCTGAATAACAACCCAGTGTGGGGGCTTCAGCAGCTGCTTATATTTAAGTCCCAAATTGGTTGTGTGACTATGGTATAGATTACCTCAAACAGACCTCAACATGATATTGGTAATTCTTGCCGTCCGGACATGCGCCTCCTTGTCTTGACAGAGAGTTGATGAAGGGCTTTCCTGGGTTGCGGCTAGGGAACTTAAAATACGATACCATAACAAGGGTATATAGTCAAAAAATAGGGCTTCCTTATTAAAGTAACTTATTCTAAGTTCCTTAACAGCAACCCAGCCTCTGATGGGCTTCGCGCCTACTCCAGGAACATGGTTGGTCTCATGCCGTCGTGGAACCATCTCATTCGACACTCGCCTGTATTGAGTAACTCACATCCAGCATGCGTAGGGCCGCGCTGTTCCGCACAGGCATCCAACCTATCTTATAACATGCACAATATGATATCGATATATACATGTTTATGTCTACTGTATAAGTAAACGGTCATCTATCTATCTATCTATCCATACATACATACATACATACATGCATACATACATACATACATACATACCTATATATATATATATGTATATATGTATATACAGCCACACACACACCATATTGTATGTAGTTAGCATGCTCAACTGAGACTCGAATTTCGTGCACCAGCATGACTGGTTCATCAACTCGGAGCTGGATCACTTTCTTAGCCCGGCCTGTGGCTTACACAGGGACTAGGGCTTAGGGTTTAGGGATTGGGGTTTAGGGTTGAGGGTTTAGGGTTTAGGTATTAGGGTTTAGGGATTAGGGTGCAGGGAATAGAGTTTAGGGCTTAGAGCTTAGGATTTAGGTTGCAGGGTGTAGGGTTTAGGCCGTTCAGGCTCAGGGTTTTGGCTTGGGGTTTACTGTTATCTCTGGTTAACAGGGAACGCAGGAAGCGAAAAGAGCATGGAAACTACCAGATTTGTGGGAACCGTTCTGGGAAGTGTACTTTAGGCCAGGTCCTACGTGATCCCCTTGCTACCCTGATGTGCTGTATCTTTGCCTGTGCAACTGCAGGATCATCAAAGTTGCATGAGAAGGTCTCATGGTTCCTCTGTTTGAAGGCCCCACTGCAAACCGCAATCTAGTATGACCCCCATTACAGGGAGCCCCAAATGGTCTCCCAAGTATCTAGATCCTACATATCCCCATATACATACCTTTACATAAAAGGGCCACGAATATATTTTGGAAGCCCCCAATATAGGCTCATGCAGGCTCCTGCCCAGCCCTAAACCCCAAACCCTAAACCCTAAACCCCAAACCCTAAACCCTAAACCCTAAACCCCAAACCCCAAACCCTAAGATGTTTCGGCTGCAGGGTTCAACGGAGGGTCAGTGGGATACGTTCGTGTACAAGCTTGATACTCTGATGGAGTGAATGACGCAGTGGACACCTGATAGGGATGAACAAGCAGAATTTAGGGATAATGGGTGTATATATATATATATGTAGTATTTTATTTGGGGATACTATGGTACCCATTAGGGTTTAGGGGTTTAGGG